TCATTCGTTTGTTCAATTTCTGTAGTTGTCCATTTTAACCCAATTGATTTTTAAATTTCAATACAAAAAAGATGTTGAGACTCTGGAAAGAATGCAGAGAAGAGCATCAAAATGATTAGGGGGCTGGACCTACGAAGAACGGTTACAGGAATTGAATATGTCTAGTCTAATCAAAAGAAGAACTGGGAGGACATGATAGCACTGTTCCAATATTTAAGGGGCTCCTATAAAGATGAGGGGGGTCAAACTATTTTCCAAAGCACCAAAAGGCAAGACAAGAAACAATGGTTGGAAACTAACCAAGGAGAGAAGCAACTTAGAATTAAGAAGAAATTTCCTAACAGTGAGAGCAATCAACCAATGGAACAGCTTGCCTTCAAAAATTGTGGGTGCTTCATCATTGGAGGCTTTCAAAAAGAGACTGGACAACCATTTGTCTGAAACGGTATAGGGCAATGGTGGCAAACCTATGGCACACGTGCCAGAGGCGGCACTCAGAGCCCTCTCTGTTGGCACACGCGCCACCATTGCCAGCAGCAGGTCCATCAGGAGCCCCGCCCAGCACAAAGGAGGTGAAGCAGCCGATTAGCAAGCTCAAGTAGAGGTGGTAGAGCAGAGGTCACCAACCATTGTCGATTGATGGATTGGAAGAAAAGGGAGGGGGAAGCATTTTACATGCGTGCATGCACACACGGGGCTGCGAGCACGCACGTGCTGCAAATGGGGCGGGGCTAGTGCCTGCGTGATAGTCATTAGCCCTGCCCCGTTCTTACGTGGTGCAGCGCCTTGTATTTGCATCCTGTGGTGCGGCGGCAGCCATTTTTGCGCCTTGCAGCACGGTGGCCCATTTTTGTGTCCCCAGTTTTTGCATGCCAGAGGCAGTACTCAGAGGCGCCTCCCTGCCCCCCTGGGGGCACCACAATGCTGATGCGGCCCTGGCACTTTGCAATAAATAAGTGGGGTTTGGGTTGCGGTTTGGGCACTCGGTCTCTAAAAGGTTCGCCATCACTGGTATAGGGTCTGCTTGAGCAGGGGCTTGGACTAGACTTCTGAAGTCCCTTCCAATTCTATTATTCTATTATTCTATGTTCTAAATAATAAATACAGAACAAAATGTCTTAATGTGAGAATTACAATGAAGAATGTGATTTGTTTTTTTAAAAATGAATTTGTATTTCATCTGAATGTGGGACTTTGCTCCAGATAGATCTTACATTTGACAGTACAAAGAGGAATTATGAGCTGAGAGAATATGATCTCTGTAACTATTCTCTAGTGCAAAGAATAGGAGAGAACCCTCTAAAATAAATTCAGTACGGGTAGTCCTTGACTTATGACTGTAATTGGATCCAGAATTAGTCATAAGTCGTATCTGTCAAACGGGACACCTTATAACAATCTTTTTTATTAAGCAAATGCCACAGTTATAGCAAATCTATTTTAACTAATGGGTGTTTTTTGTTGGGAACCAGAAAACACCAGTCATGTGATCATAGTCACATGTTCATGAGACACTGCAAATAGTTGTAAGCGTGGATTGGTTGCCAAGTGCTCAAAATGTGATCACTTGACTGGAAGGGGTAGCTGTCAGAACTTCAAAACCAGATTGTAAATAGTTCTGAGGAGGTCCATTGTAACTTCAAATAGTCATCGGTCAAGGACTACCTGCATTCAGATCCTCACTAGAAAGGCTAGTAAGTCTGAGAAAAGTGTTCTTATATTCCTGCAACTAAAGATGCAGCTTTGATGTAACAGGCCAAAATAATCCCATTGTAAACATATAATTACAGAAGAAGTACCTGTTGTACTGAAGAAGACACTACCAGCTCCCTTGTTGAAAAAAAATAATCTTGCATATCAGGAGATCAATTTTGCCTTTGGATGTAAAATAACTAAATCTTGAGGCCATGATGGTGCCTGATTTCTAGCAATCCTATCAGAAACCACTACTTTGGTCATTCCAATCTGATTTCCAATACAGGCAGGGGAAAAACATTGTTTTAGTAGGCCTCATAGAAGTTTGTCATCTGGAAACTAATCAAATTGACCACCCAGGTGATTTCTTATCTCACTTTTTGGTCTATTTTTATATTCTCCAGGACCACCAGATAATTACCACAAAGCAGTTGACTTCTGTCTGAAAAAGGGAACAAGTACTATCACAATTTAAGTTGCAGAGATAAATGCAACTTTTAAGCCATAGTAACATTTGTTTTCAGGCTGCATAGAAGCTTGAAGAGTCAAACTGCTTTAAGGTATAGATGAGGAGTGTGGTTTATATATGGAGGCTGAACCCTTGTTATTGTTTTTCCAAATTATTTTCAGACCACACAGTCCTACTAAGAAATCATAACATTACAACCAGTAACATTGTTAAACCTGCCCTCAGAGAAGACATGAACTCTGCTGAGCACAAAGTTGTGCTAATCTCCAGCCCGTGACTGGCTGTCAATCCTATTTCTATCTTTGCTGTATTCCTTTTTTAAATGGTTACGGTAAACGGTTTTTCCATTTGTTGGAAATGCTCTCAGGATAGTAATACAATAAAGACATTCCCTACTTTCAGAAGAGGATGGAGAACACAACAAAAGTGAGAAAGGGATGAGGAGAGAAAAGAAAAACCAATTCGTCCAGAAAGTTGCAATCAAGCAGCTAGGACAGTGGTGGCGAACCTATGGCACGGGTGCCAGAGGCGGCACTCAGAGCCCTCTCTGTGGGCACGCGCACCATCACCCCAGTCCTAGGCCTTCAGCTGGGTTTTATAAAACCTTTTGGCTTTAGGCCTCTGCCACCATGTGCAAAAAAAAAAAAAAGGTTCAATCAGTCCATAAGTTGAAGAGTGTCCTTTTTTTTCTAGAACGTTTCAACCTTAACTAACTAACTTGAAAAATCAGGGTGGGTCAGACGGTGCGGGTGGGTTAACCGGTGTGGCAGCCAATGGGTCACACCCATCCGGCACTTGACGATGCATAAGTGGGTTTTGGGTTGCAGTTTGGGCACTCAGTCTCTTAAAGGTTCGCCATCACTGAGCTAGGAGCCTGGAAGAGAAATGCTGCTGAAATTGTCAATTCTTACTGGTCAAAAACATTGCCTCTCCCCAAAGATGGATGGACATCCCACCCCATAAACTCTACTGGCTACTGCTACACTCAAATCAACAAACACTAATAGAAGGTATTGGATGTATTTGCTTTAGTTATATATATATTTACTAATGTGTATCAACAAGAAGCAACAACAGGCCTACAGGCCCCCTGTATTCTTAAAATGCAGAATCTAATATAATCTAAAATTATCCAGTATTTGTTCCTACTTTCCAGGGCCTTTAAGTAACAGTTTCACAGCAGCCATCCCCATTTCCAAGCACTGGCTATATGGCTGGCAAAAACTCCTTGACACCAGATCATGTCATAACGTCGTCCTTTTCTTCCTTCGGGTCTCTCCCTTGCCTTTAGCAACTTCAGGCAAAACCGGATCATAATTCATAGCGGACACAGTTGCACTTATTGAACTTCAGCCTGACACGCAGCTGTCAGGAGCCTACTTGAGAGAAGGGATAATAATTTGCAACGAGCTCAGGTCGTTATTCAATATCCTTGCCGTTAACTTCCAGCCGCGCCGCGGCAGGGCGCTCAAGGTGAAGCAAGAAGCAGAGGGAAGAGGAATTATTGACCGCTGCTGTCAACTTCATTCCTGCCATTGGCTCCTTAGCATCGCTCTCGGAAGAGGAGGAAGAGAAGAACAAGAAAGTGGAAGCGGAGGAGAGGCAGTCCAGTTCTCAGACGGCCCGGTCGGGCTCAAGCGCCTGCGCGCCCCTCCAGAGCCCCGCCGGGGGGCGCGGGGGGCCGGCCTGGGGCGGGTTCTGCAGGCGGGGACGAGCGAGGTGCGTAGGGCGCCACGTCGGCAAGCGCTGAAGAAGCAGCCGCCAAGGGGTCGGAGTCGATTCGGGCTTGCCTGGTCAAGTCCTCCGACGTGCTGAACCTAGCGGCGCGGACATCCCAGCGAGGTGAGTTTGGAAAGTGGCCTCCTCGTCTCCAGCCTCCTCTGGGCTTTGCGCAGAAAATGCGGGGTGGAGTTGCCTGGGGCATCTTCTCCACCCCTTTCCTTCCGGGGTGGAAGAAGAACGGGACGGGGGCCTGTCGCCTGCCCTGCTCCCCTCCGCGGCTCGGCGAGGCCGGGGTCTCTTGCCGGCTGGGGCCGCGAAGGTGGGAGCGAGACGGGATGGGGGCGCAGGTAAAAGACCGCTTTTGGGCACAAGGGAGCCGAAACGCTGTCCGTGCAAAATTGGCCCCAGAACTGTTCTGGATGTGGACGAAAGGTGCCATCCCTAGAACAAGGGGGAACGTGAGAAGCCCACTGAGGACAAGGGGACCGCTCTTGGAGTTGTTGGGAAAGGGAAAGCCTCAAGCAGGGAGTTGTGGTTCTTCCCTGATCTTGACCGAGCAGCCGTGCGCTCCCAAGGTTCCCAGGGGAGCGTTGCAGCGTTCGGGGGGGGGGGGGAATATTCTCCCGAGGGCAATTTCCTCGGATCGCCGCCTTCCAGCGGAAATCGAGAAAGCTCGGATCAATGTAGAAGCTCCCTTTAATGGCGTTGTCGGTAGATCTTAACTGTTTAAATACCCACCAGCCTTCCCTGCAGAGCCAGTTTCAGCAACATTGGCTGCTGCTTTGATTGGAAGGAAAGGAGGAGAGAACGGAGGGGGGGGGATTAATGCAGCGTCTAGAGGTTTTCTCCCCCGGGAAGAGAGCAAGGCACGCTCAGTCCTGCTAAGTGCGGGTGCAGAGAGAGGTAAAAATAGGTTACGCAGGAGAAAAGGCAGAAGTGTGGCCAGTATGTTCTGGCCGCGGATATTTAGATTTTTTGGGTTCAACGTGGAAGAGCCCGCGAGGAGGTGGGGAAAAGAGGCCAGGCGGCACGTCAACAGCAGTATGGCTCCAGGTTCTTGCGCCTGCCTCCTCTGCCACGTCACTGCTGCGTGCCATCCATCAGCCCTTTGTGTCTGCTGGGCCCCCATTTGGAGCCCTTTGCAACGGGGAGGCTGGCTGCTGTTTACGCTTCTGTTCCTGAATGTGTTTTCAGGTTTGGTCCCGGTGGGGAAGATTATTATTACTCTCGGTGGAAAACAGGGTTGGGTATAATGCATGTCCACGGATTGTCAACTAGCTCATTGGATGCTCTGAAAATTAATAATGCGCCTTCATTAGATAGTTTACTATATGCGTGTAAGTATATTCCTGCTTTTACTCTGTAACGCCGAAATTGTAAAGTTATTTAATATGCAAGTCAACTTTGCCTCGATAGTGTGTGGGTTCAGAACTCTTCCAGGATAGTAAAGTGCCTCAATTTTAAATTAAGCATTGAAATGTATGTTTGACAGAAAGGAGTGGGAATGTTCTTCTTTAAAATAGTCTGGGGCCCCTACACGTTGTTGGGCAACAGCCACCCAATATCATAAAGTTAAATTATCAGCTGGGGAGTTGCATGGTAAAGCCCACAAAAAGATGCAATAATAAAATAAGAAATTCTCCAAGCTCTTTGGAAACATTGCTTTCCCTTGTAGGAATGATGAGGAATTTTAAAATGGTTCTTTGAATTAAGTTTGGCAAATTTCTAAAGAGAAACAAAATGGCTTTCATTTTAATATTCTAGTAATTTGCTTTTCTAATTTTACTCATAAGTTGTCTTGATAAAATAATGAAGAAATATTGTATTGGACTTCTCTTGGTATTGAAAATTTTTATTGAACTGCTCTTCATTGTATAATGCAGCTTTCTCCAACTTTATGCCTAAAATGTCTTGGATTACAATTTCTGGAATTGCCAGCCAACAATTATAAAGGTTCAACACATCTGGCTACCACAAGGGCAGTATGGTAGCAGTAATACTTTAGTTGTCCCCAAGTATCAGCTGCTATGACTGCAAACTCTTTTCTAGGTGCAAGGAATGAAATGAGATTTACAGTTCTGTTTTAGTAAGAATGAACACAATAATCAGGATTATTAAAATAATGATAGCCATGCAGATCTCTGTACAATGATAGTTAGGCCTGAATCTGTTTTCAGATTTCGTGAAAACCGAACATTGTGAATATGTTTCTTACAATCTAACGGGATTGCTGGGAAGAATCTGAACAGCCATATAATTCTGAGCAAATGTTTAAAATGTTTGTATGCTGCTTTAAAACAATTGAAGCACTATATAATTAATATTCACTAAAGCGATTAAAGATCATTATCTAGTATTTTGCTTAGGATATCTGAAAATATTTTTTATGAATCCAGAATCTTCATTCTCAAACTAGTTAATTAATGGTTGCTTGCAAATATTTTTCTGGAAGATATGTTCACCCTTCACATAATTTGAGTTGAGTCTGTGTTGTATTTGGATTTCTTGCACTGTAACATTTTGATAAATCTTTTTATTAAAAAAATTTATATAATTTTCTTTGATTTTATATAGAAAAATCACACTGGGATATTTCAATACAGTAACATTTGGTAAGTATGGATATTAATAAAGTGTGTTTACAAATAATAAAGTGTGTAAATACAAATATTTACAAAAATACTCAAGGTAAAACTTCAGTCAAATATTTTATTGTTGCATAGTGTAATACTCATCCTATCTACAAATATGAAGAATTCTTTTGCAAAAGTTTGGGTAGGAAACGTCTCCTAGAAATGAGAAATGAAACAAAATAATATTTTGGGTTTTATATGTTATTTGAATTTATTAGCTATCCAAAACCAAAGGACTTGGGCAATCTAAAGAATTCATATTGTTTCCTATTTATGCTATAAGATTTTTGTGTTATGGATGAGAGAAGGGATGAGGCAAGTGTGAGTTCATAGCTGAATAATGTTAACTATAATTAGACTTTCAACAGATATGGGAAAGAATCTACAGGATGTAAAGATGATTGTTGTGTTTGTGCTAAAATGAGCAGAGAAAATAAAGGATCATCTTTGCATGATTGAAAGATGGCAGACTTTCCTGAACAACATTGTCAAATTTATTTGTTATACACCAGGACATATAAATGGATTGCACATAATTTTCTACATGTTATGTAGTCATTATAGCATGTAAAGGCCATGTGCAGAAGCAGAGAAAGGCACATATTTAATTTTCAAGTACAATTTTCCACCGTGTAACTATATTCTACTAGAGCTCAGCGGTGCTTCGGATTTGATTTGGGAGAAGTTCTTTAGACCCTGTGAGAGCTTGAATACAGCCCTTGTCTATGGCTCATTAAAGCAGTTGTGCTTTTTTCCAGAATCATGCATCCTAGAAAAAGACAAGGCTACTTTAATGGATCACAAATGTTGCAAATGTTTCAAAACACCTTTCCCAAATCAGTTTGAAGCATTACACAGTCCTAGATTCCATTTTACCCTTCCCGGTTTGACATTCTTCAACTGAGTTGGGACTGCAACTCTCAGAATCGCTCCACTGTCTGCAGGTTTCTCTAACCTATTTGTGTATCATTGCAAAATTATTAAATAAAAATATTAGCTCTTTCAGGAGATTGTTATTTGCTACAATAAATAGGAGAATTTAGCATTTTTTTATAATTTGGTATTTGTAATTGCAATTGCATTATTAGGCTGCATAGCAATAATGAGGTATATATTAAAGTGTTGCACAGCTGCCTGTTTTTATCGTTACATCAAAATATCCCAGAGGGAAAGATGCTTCTTCATTAAGCATGTAGGTTAAAAATAGCAATTGAACAACTGTGTTGCTAAAGGAACACATTACCAGATACTACATTGTCTAAGCTATAGTTATTGAATTGGTTCAGCAGTTTTTCTAGAAGATATATCTTGTTATATATATTGTTTTTGTTGACTTAGGTTAAACTTTTGGGGTGGTTGTGCAACTTAAAATTGATGTCATTTAATTAGAAGAAAATAAGATGAGGGAACTTGTCATTCTGAAACAATATAACTAGACATTATATAAAATAGGTATGAAGGTTACGGTACATGAAATATAATTTTGATTTATATTGTATAAATCTGTAGAAATTATTTTAAAAATATTCTAATCATAATTGGCTACTTACTAAATTTTAGAATTCAATATTTGCCTGACTATTGGTTTTAAAAAGCTAAAATAGATTTTGAGCCATACTAAAATGATAAACTTTGCCATTGACTTGTTATTCTAATCTAGACAACTAACAGTACTTAAAAAAACACTCTATTCTTCAATTCTTGCTGTCTTTTTACAGAAGGAAGAAATCTGTAAAAGGCTTTTATAGCTCTGTCTATTTAATTCTTCAGAGTATGTTAAAGAAAAACTATGCTGAGACAGCAATGGGAAGGACATAAAACAATCCTACCCAATTCTGAAATAGCTTTGTTCCCTATGCCATCTGTCTGGTAAACTCGCAAGATTTGTTTTTCTCGCCATGCACATGTATACATAATCCGAACTAGACTGTGTTGATTTTCTGTGTCATATAATATATAATATATAATATATGTGGGTATATGCATAATTCTGTATTTATTTTTGACATATTTATGTAGTATATATTGGAGGTGGTGACCCTTTAAGAGCTGTATGCAATGAAATTTCATTTTAACGTATGCTGATTAGTGTACATTCAAAGTGACAATAAAGTTAGTATTCTATTCTAATTCACCTGTTAGCATCAGGTAAATCATGTGACCTTTTAAAATAGCTCAAAAAGCAAGGTAATGCTATTGTATTCTAATTTAAGGACAGGAAGTGGAAACTATTGTTATGTCCTGTTAAACCTGTAGGCAGTATACAGTTATTCATAGTGAATTCTATTTTCCATGTTGAGAGTTAGGTTAATACCACATTACTTGGCGAAATTCCATATGAACTTGATAATCCTGAATAAGGTTCATGAAAGATTTCTCCAGGGTAGTACTTCCCCTCAGCCTTATTGAATTGGCTCTGTAATCAGATGTTACTTAACAGTATTGCTTGTGCAATGCTTTCATGTGGCAATCTGATTTGTATAAGGATAGGCCATTTCAGATTGCTGACATCTTTATCTTGAATGAAACAGAAATGAAATTTTCTAAATTGAATAGTTGAGTCATCTTTAGATGTAAATCCTTTCGTTATTTTAAAATATTACATGGTTATTATAACTTTAATGATACATTATTCACTGAATGTATTTTCACCTTGAGACTGAACTTATTATGTGCTTTTACATTTTACACAATTAAGTCAAAGTCCTAATTCCAACTCCAACGTTACTTCAGTATTCTTAATGTGTGCATTACAATTTATTGTAGTGATACATTAATAAATGATATAACCACAGTCTTAATTTTTTCACATACTAATCACTTGATATTCAAGATAATATAGGCCCAATTGTTCTCTAATTATTAAAATTACAGAAGGTGTTGAGAATGAGGATAGCCTATCTCTTTTTCTTATTTAAAAGAAGAAATCAGTTCTAAATTTGTTAAAATATTATATAAGGATTTACAGTAAAAGATCTTGATTCAAGCAATTATATTTGTGGCTTGATTTACAGCTTTTCACTATTACAGCACAGCTGAAAATACAGAATTATTATTTCCTTACCTCTTGTAAGGCAGGCTTTAAGAAATTCTTCAACCGACAACAGTTGTTCAAAACAAGAATGCAAATTATACTGACTCTGAATTAGATAATACTTTTTCTTTTCCACATTAAAGCTTACATCCTAGGACTTGAAAGAAACACTGGAAGTTGCACATTTTTGCTTAGCCTGAGTGCCTCTAGTACAGTCATGGTGAACCTTTTGGGCTTGGTGTGTCAAAAATTCATAAAATGCATAACTTGACTCGGCTGGCATTTCATATACATACAAACTAAACAAAAGAGGAATAATTCTCTATCTCCTTCCTCATTGGTCCCCTAGCACCGTTCCCCAGGATCTGCCATGCATCGCTTACCTTTCTGTTAATAGGTCCCTGCAGCCTATCCAAGGCTTCTCCGGGTCTCACAATGTCTTCATTTTTGAAGCGGCTTCGGAGAATGCTCTTCTGCAGCCTCTTGCAGCCTCCGGAAACTATGTGAAAGCATGTCCTTTTCTCATAGGATTTTTGGAGGCTCCAGTGGCCACTCAAGAGCATACCCCATTTTTGCCCAAACTTAGAAAATCACATGATAGCTAGACGTGCTTTGAGAATAATTGTCGGATGTTGGTGAATGTAGGTATAAGAACTGGCATATTACCCAAAATATTGTGGCATGCCAGCTTTGAGCTGCCTTACGTCTGCCATCAATGCTTTAACATATTAGTTCTTCACATCCATAAAGTATTGTATTGGTGATTGGACTGCCATGGAAAACGTGTCCCAGAATATGATTTAATTGACTTGCTAGTGAGCAACTTTTCAAAGGAACATTGAAAAGAGCCGGTATAACCTGGATTCTATACATTTCTGATTTTTAAGGCAATAATGAGCCAGACAGAGAACAATGAGCAAGAGATTCCTCCATATCTTAACAGTGAACCCCCAGAAGGTACATTTTACAATAACAGTACTGTTTATTCAAATATGGTGCGGTAAACTGTTCTTTTTAAATCGTTATTCTATTCTCCACAAGCAGACTTTAACTTCATGATCAAAGCTGATTTTATAAATTACAAAAAGAATAACTTTTTTTTAACTTTTAAAGACATGTTTGTTGTGTTTTGCTTGCTTAAGGATAATTTGGTCACACAAGACCCTCAAAGCAAATTCATGGCAACACACTGAATTACTAGTCTGCCTTTCTCATGATTAAATACCTAAGCTAATACAATTAAAATAACCTATGTTTATGCAGAATCTGAGTTATATTAATATGTTGCACTCCTAATATATTGTCTTTTTAAAATAGCTTTTTATGACTTACATGCGATATTGCTGCAGAGAAAGGAGCACTACTTTGTGCAGCTTGGTTTTGAACCAAATGATTTGTTAACCTGTAATTGCAAGGAGATAATTTATTTACACAAATGAAATCTGTCCTATTCAGACTTCCAGGGCAGTCTTGCTTTTTTCAGAATCTCTGTCATCATTAGTCTTCCATTCACATGGAAGGTAATTGTATACCTGCTTTCCACTCTCAGAGAACGGTTTTACTATTGATTAAGAGAGGTTAACACATAAGATGGACAAAATATGTTTGTCAAAATATGTTTTCTTTTTTTCATTTTGGATACATAGACTCTCTCTCTCTCTCTCTCTCTCTCTCTCTCTCTCTCTCTCTCTCTCTCTCTCTCTCTCTCTCTCTGTGTGTGTGTGTGTGTGTGTGTGTGTGTGTGTTTCTGGCTCTGCTGATTGTGGTGGACAGTAGCTCAGCTATGTCTGAATAGCCATAAGCTATTTTCACTTTAAAAAAAAAAAAAAAAAGATTTTTCGTTGGAAAGCATTCAATGGATGTGATTTTTTCTGAAAAAGCCGTCTCCTTTTTTTAAATTGCATGATAATATATTTTATAAAGATTCCAAAATTCAGATTTTTCAGTTAGATTTACCTCTAACTTCTGAAATAAATTGAACTACAAGTTCAGTTATGAAACAGGAGTGATGAAAGAAGTGAATGAAGTGTTGCTGTTTTTTCTGCTATCCTGGAAATGTCCTTGCTTCTTACTAGTGCTAGAAAGCATAATATGCTATAAATGGCTATAATGTTGAGTTCACCTTTTAGGAATAAATTTTAATATGGTATGTCAGATATCTAAGTGGTCCCTGACTGGAATTAACAAATTATGATGAGTTATAATGTAATTTCCTGACTTTGGCTCAGGTGATGTATGAATATATTCATTGTGCCTTATAGATAATGATTTATAATTTGCCATTTTATTGGTCAATGTGCCATAATTAAAACAACCCATAGTTTAGCGTATTTGAACCCAGCAAATGGTTATCAGTTCTGTACTGGTATCTCAAAAGAGCCTGCTCCAAAATAATTTTTTATCCTGTAATTAGTAGACAAAAATGCTGAATCCCTTAATAATTATAATAATTTAAAAAAACCAAAACTCTTTCAGAACTTTCTTTCCCATTGTTAGAAAATATGGAGACTCTTGCTATTCCCCCACCCCCAAATGCTCCTCTGCTGGTGATAGATCATAGGAAAGAGTTGTAGAGCAAAATTTCACTGGGACTTTCATTTGCAAGTGATGCTTTTCTACCATATTTAAACTAATTCTGAATACTGACACTGTTTCTCTTCCTTAGATTCAGTAAAAGATCATCCACAACAGCAGCCTGGCATGCTTACCCGGGTGACTGGTGGCCTCTTCAGCATAACTAAGGGAGCTGTCGGTGCCACAATTGGTGGTGTAGCATGGATAGGAGGGAAAAGCTTTGAAGTGACCAAAACAGCAGTCACAGCTGTGCCTTCCTTGGGAGTGGGATTAGTTAAAGGAAGTGTTTCAGTTGTGACAGGAAGTGTTACAGCTGTAGGATCTGCTATCTCAAGCAAAGTGCCTTTAACTGGGAAGAAAAAGGATAAATCTGATTAAAGAGATTCAGAACTGTTTGTATGAGAACCTTGTGTAGCTATGGGATCTACACGATTTGGATTGCTGTAAGGTCACCAATATGGAGGAATATCTAAAGAACTGAAAGAATTACTTTCTCCTACGAGGGACATAAGCAGTATCACAGAAACTTTAGATTTCTTCAGGAACTTGTCTGGTGAAATGTTACACTTGATTTTAAAAAAAGGAATCAAGTACTGTACATGGATCTGAAGGAGTGGCTCATGTTTGAACATTAATTCACTTTTCAAAACCTTGAATTAAAAATGTGAAAATAGAAGTGAAGGGAATGACTTGGCAAAAAGTTAAGCACTTCACAGTTCTGATGATATAGCTTCTTTTAAAATAATTTTAGCATTAAAGTGCTTAAATATTAGCCTGATTATGCCCTTAATTGGTTGCCTCTGCCATACAGATACATTGATGTTCTAGCTTCAAGCCTATGATGTCTATATTTTTTGGAAAACAGTCCTTAAATTCCCTATAGAGTCCTTATGTATCTTTGCTTTTTCAAACTATTTTTATACACACTAAATTCTTTAGAAGTCAACTGTCACAAGGGTGTGTTTGTGTGTGCGCACACGCATGTATAGTATATTGAGTCAAATCATTCATGCCTTATGGTGAAAAACAATCTATTTTTTACTTAGAGAACCTTTTAAAGTTTTTGTAATGTCTGTCATTTCAAAGCAGTCTGTAGAAGGAGTTTTACACTTTTTTAATCTGTTGATACTGACAAAGAAAGACTGCTAAATCTCAGGTGTAGCTTACTGATGTTCTCACCTGCAAAATGAAAAGCCCTTTATGTTTTTAGGTTGCTCAACTGAAAATTAATTCCAAGTTTACATTAAGACAATATTGAGTAACTTTCCGCTGTAAAATAAAAACACTTCTGTGATTTATAGCCTCAAGGTACAAATGTGTACGATCTTATTTCCTGAGTACATAATGCAAATACAGCAATTGCTGTTGCTGTGCATAATCTGTTTACTCGAGTATCGCCCATTATCACTAGAGATTTTGTAGAAGTTGATGAATTATGTTTTACATTTTCAGTGATAATTAGCATAAAAATATTTTATACAAATAATACCTCAGCAGGTAGGTTTGCTGAATGGCACCCATGACCAATAATGATAAAAACAAGTGATTTACAGAGAAACGTATTTCATGCATACAGTTTCAAAGTTTTCTGAGCAAGACATACAGTAGATACATCTCTTCCTGTCTTCTTCCTAATCCCTAATCCATTAAATCAGGATAGGTAGTTCTTTGTACTCAGTGGGCTATATTGTGGATTTATTGGATTGATATCTTTCAGTTTTGTTTAGAAGCTCTTTAGCATGTTTCTATTGACTTTGTAGCATTTTGGTAGTCCTTAAAAAAGACTGAAGTTCACATGATTATTCTGTATGCAATGTTTCTTAAAATATATGTTGAAAACATGCAAATCTGGTTGGAATAGTTGTGATTATAAACACTAAATTAACAGATGATGTCTTGTAAAAGTAATGACCAAAAACTCTCCCTTGTCTAAAATTACATATTCATAAATTAAATTAATTCGATATAATTTATTATATTGTTGCAATTTGTATTTTACCTGCCAAAGATCCATAGCTCAGTGATAAGAGCATATATTGTTCATGGAATGGATTTATATTTAATTCTTAGCATCTCTAGTTGAAAAGAATTATCAATACTGTGCTGTTGGTAACTGACTTGGATTTGCTAAACCACTAGCTTGACAATATCAAGCAACATCATATGCTCACCAGAACATAGAATATTTTTATGGCCCAAAGGCATCATTAAAGCTTCAACTAAAAAAAATATATAAAACAGATTTTATAATACCATATGAACTAGGAGTGAGTTTGTAAATAGTATTTAATTAGGAGACTGGATTACAATAACAATGTGCCTAGATTAGAGAGTTTATCAGACAATCTTCATATTGGATACCTTGGCTAGCATTTAGATACTCTTGTCATTTTACTACTCAACCATTCCCTAATAAATGTGTATCTTAAAGCATATGTAAAAAGAATAAAATGTGTATGCGTTCTTTTTAGAAATGTTTACTAAAGGTTTTAGTGTTCTGAACACCTGAATGGTTTGCATATGGAAATTGTATTTATAGAAGGATTAGCCACAGGCATAAAAATTACAAACATATTGATGTACATTAAGAACTGACATTTGATATTTCTTTGACGTTGACTTTTAATGATAAAAGATCTTAAGGTATAGTATCTGGATTAATGTGCTTAGAATAAGGAATAGAGAAATCTAGTATGGTAAGGTGCCAATGTCAATATGCCTCAGCAGGCATCTCTCTTAGCATCCATCAGATTCCTTATCCCTCCCTGTTCATATCAAGCATGTTTGGAAAATTGTATTTTTCATTGAAGCAAATCTCATTGTGCTTTCTGATAAATGGATGCCTTGTAACATTCCCATGCCAACTACTTTGTGAGATGCTGTCAAGATAAACCCATTGATCCCATAAAGTGTCTTTTTACTGATGGACAGAATGACATAATGAAATATTACCCTCATTTTTTGTATTGATTCTTGATTGCATTATCATTCAGCATTGAGTTGAAGAAACTACTTGGGGACAATTGAGTGGAACCTATGAAATCAAGAATACTAAACTCCAGGGCCTCATCCCATTTCTGTACATTGATTTCTTTTTAAATGCATGAATTTTCATGTAGTTCTTAATATTATAGTTGTCATGCTTGATATTTAGGAAAAAAAATAGCATAGTTAAATAAATATAGTATGTGCTACGTGCAAATTCAAAGCTAGGCTTTCTATGTAGTTGTGAGATGTGCCATTCTGTTCCTTGTGTCTTCATTCCTACAATCATTGAATTCATATGTACCAGGTTGATTCCAAATTATTTAAAATGCCACAGAGAATATTGATAAAATAGATCATGCATATACTCAAGATCTGTGAAAGAAAAAGGTTATGTGGTTACTAAGACATGACACTGATTTGATGGCACACAATAGTCAAGGAGGTATTTCTAATTAGCAGGAATTACATATCACTTAATTATGCATAATCTAACCTATTTATACAATAAACAATATATTCTCAATATGTTTAAATTTTATTTTAAATATTGCAAAAAGCAAGCATGTTACAACTTAAACCAATGCTGGGTGCATCTTGTCATCAGGGCAGAAGTTTAAAACTCGTCCTTTCCTTTCCTAGATAATTTATATATTTTGTTGACAATCCTATAATAATCTTACATAAACTATTTCCTATTCTGTTGCTTACATGTTAAATATAATGTAGTGTTAAGCAGCAAAAAAGGACAATTGTAATTATCAAAGGACGAGCCACCCAGAGTTACCTTGTAAGGAGATGAGTGGCATAGAAATTTAATAAATAATTGCTATTATGAAAAATTAAAATGTTGAGATTTACAAAAACACCTCTATGATTAAAAAAATCTACATTTATACAGGATGCAGAAAATAAAATATTTCCTCTTAAGTGAAAGACCTTTAGATGCAAATAAAGGTACTACTTCATGAAACTACAGAATCCCATCTCACATATATTTGTTTTGAAGAGAAATTGAATCCATGGAATATAGGGCTATCTGTAGTTTCTAGGCACAATTGCTATGGATTACTTTCACATCAGAAAAAAATGCCTTTTAATATTAGTTCCTAGAGAACATGAGCAGTGGCTGCTTCTGGACCAGTGTCTAACTTGTAGGTTTCACACAGAAATGTGGTTGGCCACTGTAGGAACAATGTTAAATCAGACAGGCTTTTAGTTTGATCCTATAAATTCCATGACTGTCGCATGTTTAGAAACACTGATTCAGAAAAAAAGGCCTGAATACAAATTCATTTTTTAAGTAGCAGTTACAGCCAATTTATTTGAATGGTGAAAGACAAACTGGTCCTGTCATTTTATTAAGCAGGTTCTGGAAACTAATCTTCAATATTCAAAGGAGCAACTGGATTATATATGGGTCTCTCACTTTTTGCTTGTATCTTTCCATAAGTAGTTTCAAAATCTTTTTTTGTTCCATTGAGATATTGTATAGTTCCATTCTTCAGACTGTATCCTAGGGCATCTAATTTTTTAATCCTATATTGAATTATCTCTGTTGATAATTCTAATACAGCGGGTGACTCTTTAATTTGTTCTATAGAAATTCCCTCCTTCAATAGTTCATCTAGCCTTTCTTTCAGAACTGGAGCTGAATAATAGAGAAGGGCAGGGCACTGTAATATTAGCTCTTTTAATTCTTGATCATTGCAGTTGAAGATGGTCTTTGAAAACAAAAGACTACTCTGCATATTGCTAGGGTTAAGTTGAAAAATAAATCCTTTGAGCTTGGACAATAGGCTTAGAACTTCAGAATCGGTGAAGTGATTGTTTTGAAGAAACTCCAGGTTTTCTTGGACAGTAGTAGAAGTATTTAAGAAAATAAATGGATTTTGACTCAATAATTTCAGCAGCCAGTTTTTCAAATTTTCCTGTGAACCACCTAGTCTTAAATAGTTTCTTTGCAGAGTTTCTATCATATGCTTATTCTTCTCAACAGGATTGTAAAAAATATTTGATGCACTTGTTAACAACCGGCAGATGATAGCATTCTTCAGCCCCAATGCTTTCAAGAATCTAATGTTCGCCTTCTGATTTTCATAATGTTCAACATTAAAAAAAGCATCTGGAAACCGTTTTATTAACTCCACTAACCGCTTTTCATTTTGACAGACAGATAACCACAAATCTCTCTGACAAGTGATATTGGTAGGACTACAAAGAATGGCTTCAGGACAGCATTCAAAAATATGTGCTACTGAAGGTCCATCAGCTCCAATTGTTTGCAAAATATTAGCTATTTCTTTGATGTATGACACCTCTTTTGACAGCACCCATGGCTTCAGTCTACGGATTTTCTTTATATCCACAGATAACTTGGACAGATTTTCTACAGTGACTTTATTCTCCTTTCCTAAAGAAGTATCACTTGCATATCTCAAATGCTGTAAAAGGTGTCCATTCTTTGTTTGATACCAGAAGACTGATAAAGCTGGCAATATTAGGCAGGGCTGAGATCTAGCCAAAAATTGCATATAGAAATTTGGGACAATATAAGCCATTTCATTTTATGGTCAAGCGCCACATCAGGAAAGGCCTGTAAGAACCAAAGCATAAGACATTAATTCGAACTTGGAAAAAAGCAAGAAAAATAAATCTCAATAATCATAATCCCAGATACATGACTAGAGTATGCAACATTTTTCCTCAATTGATATTTATTCAAGCAAAAATGATAATATAATGTAGCCGACAGGATTTATCTGGAAGACTATATACTATTATATCTCATCATGACTTTTAATTGGGTGGAAGGGTGCATCCATAGAGCTACAATTTTTGAACCAAAGCACCTCAAGTGGGCTAATTTACAGAATATGTCCAAAATCCAGGATCAATGATTTCTGAGGGAATGAAATTTGGGTACGCTAGGGCTGCTTCATTACTACTGACTGCGGCTATGTTACTACTAAAATGGTCACATGATCTTCATTTTGAACATTCCATGACAGTTTCCCAGCCAGTTTGGCAATCCCTCACTCCCTCTTCCCCCCAGCAGCAGCCACTTAACTGCCTGCTGGGGAGGTTTCCAATATTCCCTGTCAAATTCCCATAAGGAAACCCAGTGGGGAAGCTGGCAGGAAGTCAGAAGTAAATTCTGCTCCAGCTGCTTTTTTGCCCATCCTTGGTCATTCTGTTTCTCTGCTTAAGTAAGGAAATATCTCTGAAAGGAGGACCCAGTGGGGCATGGATTGCCTTTCTCTTCAAATAAAATTCTATGATTGTGATACAATTGATGAATTCCTCCCCAATTGCCTCTTAAAATATTTTTGCCTATTTAATAAAAATCCTGACCTTCCCATTCCATTCAAATTAAATTATGTGAAAGCTTGCTTTGGATTGCAATGGTATACAGATGATAACTAAATGTTAAGTAGCAGCAAAGGTCCAAACAGACATATTTCTTTTGTTGTAATAGTGTATGTAGGTAGCAAACAAATCTGAACAAAATAACACCTCTGTACTTTTATTCCTGCCTTATTTCCTCTTTGATCACACAGCTCTGCCTGCCAGGGAAAACAGGGAAAAGAGTATGAAAACAAATAAAAGACTAGTATGAAAACAAATAAAAGACTAGAAACAACTGTTACCAGGTAGCTTTTCTTATTGTATGTCTAGCAGCTTTCTTCTTTTTGCCAATATTTTTGAAGGTATTTTCAGACTTTTTAACCATTGTTACACATAGTGGCATTATGCCATCTTTAAGTGGGAAGACTTACATTTTTAAAAATGTAAAATAAAACTTTCCTCAAATCAGACTCAAATACTGGTTCCTATGTGGACAGGTAATATGAATTTCTTAATAATAAAATTAGTTTTAAAAAAAATATTTTTAATATTATCTACATTTCTGGAGGTTCCTGGGATTTTTTATTCAAATACCAACTAACCAACCCACCCATTCCACTGAGTGTTATGTTCCTATATTAAGAGCATTTGATAGCATTAAATCAAGATATATCAACTGGTTGAGATTTCCTCCTTCCCGTTTTTATTAACTAAAGCATTTCAATTTTTCCCGTAAAAAACGTTGATTTCAGTTTAAAACGGCAGCCGCAGATAATAAACAAGTGACAACGACTACACGTGCACCGCACCCCTAACCATGTTTAACTCAATCCTGCGTTATTCAACCTAGCTGGCGACCCTAAGCGTTTAAATCAGTGTTTCTCAACCTTGACAATTTTAAGGCATGTGGACTTCAACTCCCAGAATTCCACAGCCAGCAATGCTGGCTGTGGAATTCTGGGAGTTGAAGTCCACATGCCTTAAAATTGTCAAGGTTGAGAAACACTGGTTTAAATCACGCAGCCAGGGATCTCAAATTGGGGACGGAAGGCAGCCAGGATTGTTTGCGATTGCAATGCGCCGAAAATACCAGCAGGAGCTCGACGACACTAATTTTGCGAACGAAATGAAGCGTCTCGACACTGGATCGAGTCTTGCCTTCCTAGGTAAAAAGACTGTGGAGCTTCGAGGCGACAGGTTCCGGAGAAACGACATCCGTGCAATAGAGTGCATCTACCCCTGATGCAAATGCAATAGGCTCGCCACGTCCTACCTAGAAGCAGCCGGCCCTGACCCTGCCCCAGGCAAACTAGCACGCCTTGTCCCCCTTCCTCTTTTGACCCAGCACCGCCCTCCTCCTCCCCTCTCCGAAGACGGACAAACCCCAGAGGTTTCCTAGCCAAGAAGCCACCGTGAGTCACGCCTTACCCGGGGTGCCAGCTGCAGAAACTAGGTTGCTGGCGTCACAGGCCGTCTTCCTGAGCCATACCAATACCCGAGGTGGGGGAGTTACGATGGTAGAACAAACCATTTCCGATTCAGCTTAGTGGCTGTATTCAGGTGCTTTTAAATCGTATATTTTACAAATTCAGACGAGTTTTTGAACTTTTTAAAAGATTTATTCTAATATTAGTTTTTGTATCTAAAAAGTAGGTGGTTTTTTTTTTACAGAAATGTATAGATGCGTTGAAATCTTCCCCCGCTTCTACTGCAGAGCCGCAGACCAAATATGACTTAATTTTTCCCCCTTATTCTGTGTTGTATGAACGTGCATTGTCTCCATCCAGCCTCCTCCCAGGAAGGAAGGAAGGAAGGAAGGAATCAGGACTTTCTCATTAGCAAAATTCCTTGCTGCCAATACAAATTTTTACGTCTTTGTATTGTTGTTGAAGCGGAACTAGCAAAGCGTGGTGTCACTCCCACAAAGGCTTGTCTATACTTTACAAAAACGATTTCAACAAGCCTTAGGATGTTTGTAAAGCAGCCGGATTGTATTGTGGGTTACTTTGTTTATGCTGAAGAATAACTTCACAGACGTACATTCGGATTGCAACATAAATTTTGCTAATAATTTAATCAGATGCATTTCCTGTTGTTAGTTACTTACTGTTTACATTGCAATATCTATCTACACAATAATTTATGGAATATTTTAGGAGCAAAAGTGAAGAGAACTTTGCTACCGAAATGTATATAATCAGAAAAATAATACAGAAAAGGAATATGATGTTATTAGAAGTTGTTTTGCTTTGTTTTTCTGTGGCGAGGAAGCCATTTGAAATCAAGGATGCCTTTCAGTGGCTGAAGAAGTAGCAGCATGCTAGGATTTCACAATAAGAATCAATTCTAATTAGAATTTCCATAGAGGAATTCCATGCTGGTTTATTTGACATAGTTTGGACACTTGGGAAAATTTCATAAGCCAATGCTGCAATTTATTATAATTTAGGAATGCAGATTTTAACGTTTTGCTCATAACGGACAGAAAAATAGGATGGAATTCACTAAGCCAAGGTCTGTAATGACCCTATCCATCAGTAGTTCTTCAACTTTAAAGTTTTATTTATTTGTTTATTTGTTTATTTATTTTATTTTCATCTAATATATTTGCACACGTGCATTCTAATTTCAAATAAATTTACTGTAGAAGGATACAGATGTTTTCTACACATGGCTGGAAGTTTAACTTGCCTCCATACCTTTCCAAATGTGCTAAACTTTATTTGAAGTTTTGGGGAACTGTGGCCTTAAAAGTAGCACATGGCCTTGTTTGTATCATAATGATCCAATGGAGTCAGCAATATTCCATTGCAAACATATCAAAGAATGCCCAATTTGGGCCTGACATCAATGGAACATGACTGGCGGGATAGTGGACCATAAGAACTTTCAAGTGATCATACAGGTATTTCTCCATGAGCCATACTGTATGTGATAGAACTCCAATATGCCAATGGTGCAAGGTTTCCACAATATCCTCCATCTCATGGCAATCAACACATGCTCTGTAGACTGCAACTTAAAACTGATAGTGGCTTCGGTTGGTTCATTTCATTGATACTGTAAAAACATTCATTGGACAATCATTTTTAATTTGCATCAAAAGAAAATAAAAATGTCCTTTCTGAATCCATCAAACATACAGCTTTGTATATAACTTCCTAATTTAAAAGTAATATATTTTTAAACCAATGTAATAGTCACAATACTAGATGTAGAGATTCTTATTATCGTAAAACTTAATTGTATAGGAGATTCAGAAAAGAATTAGACTATTGAGAAACTTAAAAAGAAACAAGCACATAATTAAAAACCCACACAATGCTAGCACCACCTTGCACTAACGTCATAACACAACTGTAACATAAGAAAATTATAGGTTTTATTATACTTCCAACTTTAAGATAATTTCATCTGTAGATATCTCTCCCTTCATGCTCTTTAAATAATGTTAGATGTTTGGCGTCATTGTGCTTAGTCACTTCTTGATTTCTGTCACTGGCCAATAGATATAAAATTCAATTAAAAAGTGATAGAATCCTTGCTACTTGTTACCTGCACAGCCAAATATTGAGATCTCTTATTCCTAGAACTTGATTGGAAATCCATGACTAGAAAGAAGCTTCCTAATTATTCTTATTAATATTTTATATATTCTATGTGAAATTGGAAATTATTACTATAACTTGACCAGGGTCATTCAAGACATTTTGCTTGCTTAGTCATAGAGCCCAATAGAGTCCACCTGTTTTCATGTGCTAAAGACAACAGGACTAGTAGTGAATCTTTATCTATTTTATGCAGTTTGCACAGAAGTGTCTGAATTTAATTCTCCAAAATCCCCTTTTCTGAGCTGGGAGCAAAGACCCTACCATTAAAATTACAACTTAAAAGTTACCGAATGACATTGGCAGGAGATTTGAAATAAATAGTATAAAAAATATTTTTATAGTATTTTTCTTTACCCAAGTTTTTTTCCCTTAAATGCAGCACAAAATGAGGTCATAGTAGTATCATTTGATTACAAGAAGGGAAGACTTCTTGAAAATTGGAAGTTTTCAGATGTTGTATGTCCTCGAATAAAGAATTCCACATAAACTGAAAAGATTGAGTACTCATGTCCAATAACTGCCCAGAGAAGTTTGAGATTGTTGATCTGATTTGGGAGTGGGGCAGGGTAATATGCATATGTTCCAACTGAACTGGAAATAATAAAAATGGAACAAGCCCATATTTATAAGCTATGTA